GAGAGAGAGAGAGAGCCTCGTTCTTTATCCTCGCGAAACGGAGCGGTAAAAAAAAAGAAGAAAAGAAAGGAGATTTATAACCCGTTTATATCGCAACCGCGCGCTTTATCGCGGGAAAAATATCAACCCCGAACGAGTTGTGCGTCGCGCTTTTATCCCGACCGGATTTACGAGACGGGGCGCGACGCGGCGCGGCGCGCCGGTTTTGCGGCCCGTCTCGTCGGTGTAAAATCGATTCGCTCGCCGCATTGGTCCGTCGTGGTAAGAAGATCGAGACGACGCTTCCGTAATTGATTGGCGCGCCAATTGATACGATTGAACGACAAAGTTCCCTTGTTCCGCGTACGTCACGGCGCGTCTTGCGCGCTTTTTCGCGTATCACCCGAGATAAAGCGTGATGAAAGTTAAACAAGAGCGTTATTTCATTACCGTTATCATTGTATTTGTCGTCTGTTATTCACGGTAGGTCAGATCCCACACGGTCGACGATTTTAATAGGACAATCCTCTCAGCGATATTTTTCGAGCTCGCAGGTTGCTCGAGTCGCAATATGAAAAATATTTTCAGGATTTAACTCTCGCACAAGGTGAGAGATTTTTGCAGTACCTTCGTGTTCGCCATTTTCACCTCCTATCAGCTTTAACGCTCCCTCCTGCTTTTTCAACTTCCGAAAGTCCTTTCTTATCTTCCTGACTACGCGTGTCTTGTTGTCGCGGCTGTTGATCCAGGTAGCGTTGTTGCTCGTGCAAAACTCAAGGGCGGACAACAGCGCTATCAAGCTAATCGCGATTTCCGCTCGTCGCAGTCGCAGTTTCATTTTTCAATGCCTTTTGAAAATTTTGACGTTATCAATCACGATTATCAACACGACTTACATTTCGGCGTACGATCCATCGTCCAATATTGCCCTCGCGATATTTTCCAACAACGAGTATTTCAACGAGCACTCACGGTTTTAATCACGCTTTCCTCGTATCGCTCTTTCTTTCGCTGTGGAGAGAAAAAAAAAGGATTGCACCGTACCGAAATCGTGTGTGCGTATTTCGTACACACGATTCCGAGGACTACTGATCGCGCGGTACGTACGCAATGCGTTCGCTCCTTGACTCGTTACAGGCTTGTAACGTGACGCTGGCTTATAAGATCATCGGCGATGGCAGATCGTTTCTTTTTCCGCGTCCCTGATCTCTTCCTGAACGATTCGTAACCCCGATGACCCGTTTAAATCAGTTGTCAGCGCGATTAGAATAGCCATGATGACATTCAATCCTTGACAGAGAATGAAACATCGAGGGGGGGGAGAGGGGGGGGATGTTTCTTCTCTTATTTTGCGGCTTTTGTCATTCGATTCTTTTGACAGAGTTGAGATATTAGACGTGCTTCAAAATTCATAAAGCTTTACTTTCTATTTAGAATTGTAAAATGATGAGTATATCAAATATAATTAAATATAATTAATTAGATATAATTTTAAAGAAAAATGCACATAAATTTTTTTATACGAAACATGCCAAAAACATAGTTTTAATTATAATATCTGAAATGAAATAATAATAAAAATGATGTTCTAAACAATTCCTGAAAATATTTTTTTTTTGTAATATATTTGAATATGATTCGAAGGAGCGATTTAAACTCGAAACAAGTCAGAACAAAATTATTTTTCTTTGTCGTACGAATCAAAGTTCATCTCTCGGAAGACAAGGTCAAAGTTGGTTATTATTCGAGATTTCTCGAGGACTCCGAGGTTCACTATGCGTCGCGTAGGCGGAAATTGTGTTTTGCCCGAAAAAAAATTCACACTCGAGTGGTGAATCACTACCGATCTTTCCGACCCCGCGGATGAACTATGCGATCCACCGTGATGATTGATACTGGCGTGCGCGCGAATTCGAATCGGTCGTTTATAACGTTTCGGGTCTCGTAACGTCGCGGAAACGCGCGGCACATTGTTTCGTCGTGCTCGTAGATAAGAATTAACTAGTTTAACCCCGAATTACTACGGTTAAATTTGGATAACCGTGATGAGGTCGTATCGTGACCCCAATAATAAATTACGTTAATGGCACTTGGAAAGCAATTTCGACTTTCATTACTTACCTCTGTCTCTGAGCAGAGAGAGAGACGACTATCATGTCTTTATGTACGAGGATCTGATTATACGAAGAAAGGGACAAGTAAAATAATAAGCTCCAATCATTTGAGCGCTCGCTCTGATAATCTCTTAGTGAAATATCTCCGAGCAGGTTTGACCTTGTTGTAGTACTTGAAAGCCGCTACGTTCATATATCTATATCGCGGCGGCTTTTCAAGATAGGATATTTCATATACCATAATTTATCATCGTCCCATGTTGAAGAACGTTAAAGTCTAATAGATAAAAAATAAACACGAAAAGATAAGATGGATGTAATAATCTATAAAAACAGCAGGGCGGATCTTACACGTTGAATCATTTTAATTTTCAATGTTATGTTTAATAGAAAATATCGAAAAACTTGAGAGCTTGGAAAATAAATGGCTCAAGTTTTGATTTGAACCATCGTCATTTATACTAATTATTGCATGCAATGTTAATATATTGTATATTATTTATTTTTTTTTCTTACTCTTTTCTTGAATATCAAAATTACACTAAATAATTTTACGGGTCAGGAACGAAATTGTTCTTAGGCTTTCTTATCATGGACACGTCACGTCCTATATCTCATGTTTTTTTCGTTATCAGTGGGTCCGATAGCGTCCCGAGAAAGTGTATAAGTGCACTCGCATGTTTTCTCTTCCGAATCTTCACTCTGATGAATTAGATGTGAGTTCGGATGACGTCATCCGTTGCCAACTGGGAAGTAGGTGGCTCAAACTCGAAAAAAAGCAGTTTAGAAAGCCCCCAGTAAGACACGATTCTCGTTATTCGATATAGTCCCGTAGTAGTATTCATAATTGTTGCACAACCATCAATGAGGATAACACGATTCAATATTTTATCAAGTGGTTCACGGACACAAGAAAATCAAAGCTATTTTATTAGTAATTAATTGGCGTTTATGGCACTAAGTGTATCGTGAATTATTTCTAACATGTGCAAAATTTATTGTATATTCTGGCTAATGTTCAAATAATTTTACTATGCTGAATAGAACAAAGTCACATCTTTATTTTATAAATACATATCTTTTTTATAAATAGGTATCTATTTTATAATAAATAGGTATCTTTAATCTTGTAATTTATTTAATTATTTTATATTTATAGGGTTTATTTTATACATACAATTTTAATATTTAATTTTTAATATATATATATATATATATATATATATATATATATATATATATATATATATATATATATATATATATATTATTATTATTATTATATAATAATA